GCATTCGCAAACTAATGCGATGCCAATTGACTTCGATTAGCGAACGATGCGACGGCGACGACGTTGCAAAGAATGGAAAAAAGGAAGACATGGAACAAAGAGAGGGGAAAGAACGAGAGATTCTGACGATCAAGGACAAAAGTCGAACTGAAATTCCACGTATGTACTGTTTCAAATCCTATTTGGGAGTGGCCTTTATTCCCTGTCTTTGACGATGAGCATTAGTTTAGGGCAGCGGGGGCGGGAGGGAGGGCTTTGCTTTGTATGTAATTCACCTTCCGAAAATCACCTAACTTGACCTGCCTTTATTACCACATACAGTAGCAATTAAGGCAGGGAAAGTAAAAAAAAGACAACAAAAACAAGAATTCCGCTAGATTTGTATTAAACAGCGGTAAAAGTCGAGAAAAAAATCGACCAATACTTCCTTTGCTGCGGTATGCGCCGCGCGCTCATCCTCTAATGTATGGCGCTGCGGTGATTGTACGGAGGTGTTGGATAAGTTATGAGGAAGTTGCTTTCAATGCTTGTTTATTCTTTTGACTTGAATGCCCCTGCGTTCATTAATTCTGCTACCCGACGGGATGCCTTTTCAACGTAATAAATAAAAGTAACTTGAAAAATTAAACGAATAAAGTTATTTTTGTATAAGCTGTACTCCGTTACGAAGGGAATAGTGTACCAACGAGTGCTCCAATAAATGAATTAATCAACAAACAAGTAAACAAATAAGTAAGCAAAATGAGCAAGCCTAGAGAGGTCACTCAGGTCTCAGCGTCACAAGACCATCGGATGAAAACCCACTTGCGCATCGCCTGAAGAAACCCTCAGCAGGCACTAGTCTCAAACCCACCACACAATTCCCAGACATGAATCAAACATGGGTGGCGAGCTGGGAATGAAAGGGATTTATTCAGGCATGAATCTTGAAGGACGGAGGTCACGATAGGCCTTGGCAGGATTTGATTTGAGATTTAATCTTAAATTGTGCACAAGGCGAACGTCACTTGCCATTATTCCCTGTATTGTATGACGGAATCAGCTTTCTGGTTCTGGTCTAGTCCGATTTACTTGCGGGAGTTTTACGATTCCTACTCCTATCTTGAGTTCGATTCAGCTCGATTTTTCCCTATTTACAAGTCACACAAGTCTTGCAGTAGGTCCACTTTTGATCAGGTTCAATCATTCTATAGCCGCTTCACGGGGTTCTCGAATTCGTTTCGGGCGAACAACTCTGACGTCTGCACAATTTTCATCGAGTAGGCTTAAAGTACGTGAATCCGCAATTTGCTGTCGAATGCATGGTACCGTTCCAAGAGGTGCCAAAACCCAGAGACGCAGCAAACACAGAGGTGTCACCAATTCGTTTTAGCAATGCTTTTGGGGCGATGATGGAATCGTCAGAGGATTAGAGGGAGTGGTGCGTAACTAATGCGAATTCAAACTGGATTCATGGCCACTTTTCTTTCTAACATTGGTGGCTGTTTGGATACCTTCTCTGATGGGTTTGAGACGGCAATGAGTGACAGCGGTTCAACAGTGAAGAACAGCTTATAATGGCGTACCCAGGGTATTGATGGCCCAATGTGTTTTTCTTTCTCTTGTGGGTTCGGTTAATTAACACCACGGTTTTCGCCAGAAGGCGTGAGTCAATAATGAGGATTGTATGAATTCTGAGATCACAGATGTAGAAGCAGAGCGGTTTCTTTACATTGAGGCAATGTGTAATCGCTATTTGGACAGGCTTTTTTTGGCAGACAATCGTACTAGGTCGCAATATGGGTGATTGGATTTCCCGAACCGTAAGGCCGAATCCACTTTCAATCAGGGATGGAAATCGAAAGTGCGACACATTTGGAAGGATTAAAATTGACCGAAAAGGATTTGAACTGTGACAGGATGATCCAGACGTTTACAGCACGCTTGTTTACCCTACCAGGGTGGAAGTGTCAATCCTCAGGTGAGGAATCAACCTATTGATAACAATGGCGGGTAGTCCATATAGCTGGACGCCGGAAAGAACAAAATATCTATTTCGAAAGTCAAGCATCTTAAAAGCGAAACAGAAAACACGATTCAAAACTCTATAGCCTTATCTCAGGATGAGCCGTACTCTTTCTTCATGTGCAATTACCCAGTCGATTGAATGTGTCCTGGCACCTACATCAAAGGAGCTAGAATAGATGTAGCATATTCTCTGTCTACAGGCATATGGTGCTAACTCATCAGTCTTAGGAAGCTGGGAATTCCCCAAGAAGGGGTCAGGATTGTATTCTCAAAAATAGATGAGGTTGCCGGTGAAATTGACACTGTATAGTAGATATTGAAAGGAAAAAGCCAGAGAAAAACTAGGGGGATGGGGTAAAATGTCTCCCATCACTTGCCCTCGCTTCGCGCCGCTCGACTTCAATGTTATTTGAATTTTTTTGATTTTTTGCACAAAAAAACTGAGGTTGGAAGATAATTAGCAGTGGCACCCCCGAAAGGGATCTTGTGTGGGAGTGAACCAATAAGTTCTTATAGGACAAGAAAGCGGGGGTGGGCGAGAGGAGAGAGGTTGAAGACCTTGAAACTTTGCCTGCACATCGATTTACCCAACTCAAAAAGATCGAATTCTCGAGTTAGTCAAGGAAAATTAAAATAGCAGTGACGCATTAGCAAAAGCAAGGGTTCGGCTAGAAGAGCACGTTCCAAATGAAAAGCTTTGATCACAGTTCGGTGCGGAATCTTTTGGAATGGCTATCGAATCCCCACCATTTCGTCGTCGTGAGGACAGTATAGCAAAATTCAGACCCCTGCACTCTATGTGGGAGTCTCGTCAAGGACAGCGCTCACATACAATTATTGTCTGTTGCCGCTGCCTAAGTGACTGACCGGAATGGTCGTGCCAAGAATCGATTTTTGTGGTTGAAGGTTTTTTCTCCTGGAAACCAGTACCCCGAAAATTTCTTCTGGAGGATTGCTTACGTAAGATGACAAGCCTGTCTAAACAACTAGCTTGTGTCCCAAAAAAGCCCGAAGTCGAGTGGAAATCAATATCGATCAATACCGCAGATGTTATATGCAAGTAGAATTATCCTGGATGTTCAGATACCAGAAGACTATTCTGGTGTAATTTCTAAATGAGGAATCGAGATTAAGCCTCCACGTGGCCAAGCTAGGAAGAAGGAAGTAAAGCGGGGCAGTACTTGAGAATTTTAAGAAGGGAGGGTTTGGGGGGCTGTGAGAGTTGAAAAATCGCCCATGCACCGTAGGACAATGATCTTGAACTGTAGATGAACTCAATTGCGACATGAATAGAACTGCCTTTCAGCGCTGCTAATCCCAGAAAAAGACAAACCAATCAATAAATCTATAATGTTTGGGAAGTTGAAACGAAACTCACTGTATTGAGAGATTTTCCTCTGAACGCGAAGTGAATCATGAATATGGGCTCCGACTACCTGAAACAGAAATTTTGTGAAATTCCGTCCAGAAAACAAAAAAATCGATTTATCGATTTATTGATTTACCATCACGGCTTCTCGCTTCCTTTCCGGCTGCATGTCGGTCGTGTCCCTCGCCATTTTTACTAGCGATTTCACAGCAATTCCTGAACGCTTTTTGATATTACTTGATGAATCTAGTAATCCTAGTGTTCAACAGCTTCTTGCTTAGAACTCAGTAGTTGAAAAAGTAGAAAAATCTGTATTCTACCTGATTGCCAGTTGAAAAGTCGCCAGAACATCGCCGGTAGATAGAACAGAATCGCTTGTATGCCGAGTATAAACGGCACCCATTGGTAGTAACCTGAACAACAACGTTGAGTGTGGGTAGCTATTATGTGACCAGATATACCGGATGGGCAGGTATGGCGATATTGTATTCGCACGATCTAGGAACCACTAGATGGGGCTCAAAAATGGGCTAAATGCATTCTTAGGGGCTGAGATGGGGTGAGGCTAGAATTAGAAAGTAAGAAATCTATTGGGCAAAATTCGAGTGCATATGAACC